GTGCGCGCTACCATGTCCGGCTAATTTTTGATTTATTGTAGAGATCTAGGCTCAGGCAATCCACTCACCTCAGCCTCCCAAAGGCGCAGGATTACAGGCTGAGCCACCGAGCCCGGCTAAAAATCACATTTTTAAAGACCTATTATTCTCTAGAAATTCCATAGGTGTGGGTTGTATATAATGGAAAGTCATTATTTACAATTTTGCCTTCAACTCTCCTCAAATTTAAGTCCATGAAAGTGATTTTCGGTGAGTTCAAATATTTTTCCAAAAATTTTTTGGTTTATTTATGATTAAAATACAATTAAAAAAAAAAAATCTATTTTGAAATTCCCGGCCAAGGTTTTCTTCTCATTTTAAACAAAGTACTATATGAAGTTCAGGTTAGGTTTTGCCAAATTATTTTTAACTAACATTTTATTCTGAAATTTGACAATTACATTTTTAAAAGTACCTTTCTCATTGAGGGTTAGGTGTTCTACACGCAAGCAAGGTCTCATTTTAAATAAACATTATCAAATGCCATACAGGGAAAGACCTAAGATGCTTTGAATAAACATTTTTAGATTACAAACGTTTGAAATATGTTGAGCCATTTCCTTTTCCTCTTTAATCTTTCAATTTTCTTTTTTTCCTTTAAAGTGGTATTTTAATACCTGGAGTGCATTGTTTAAAATGAAACAAAGCCAGCCATTTAAATAGTATATTTAATCTGACAGAGTCTGTACTTTAATCCTGCCTTACCCCTTCCTTGCTCTTGGTCAAGTAACTTCTCTGGGTCTGTTTCCTCATTTTTAAAATAAGGAGGTTGGACTTGAAGAATGATTTCCAGAATTCTTCCTGTTCTAACACTCCAACATTTCTTCTATGATTTCAGATAAGATGTTATTAGAACCTTTTTTTGGACTAGTTATCCTAAGAGGGATTACATACTAGATTGAAAATAAAAATGGCATGAGCCAATAAATGGAAACATAATTAAGGTTTTATACATGAAATGCGCTATAGCCCAGAAAGTCTAAGCCAGAGTTTAGGAAAATTTACATAGGCTTACAGTTAAGAGAGCTTCTGTGAGAATGAACATGGGTAAATCCTCTCTTTTCAGTAACTCTACAAAGTTGAAGTAAGGTGACTTTACTCAAAATCCATGATATTTTGTCATTATTTAATTTCAGAAATAGAAAGAGCAGGACATTCTTAATAGATAGTGCAGGCATGGATCGAAACTAGGAACTATTAAAAAGCTCTCCAGTTGAGGTATGTTTGATTTATAAACTGATGGTGCCTGTATTCTTCCACCCTCTAGTGTGTAAGGAGAAAATAAATGGAAAAGATTACATAAGTCAAGAAAAACTGGCAGTGCTTGCTCCAAACACACACCCCAGGCTGTGGAAGACAAAGAAGAGGGAAATACTCAATCAATAAAGAGGAGTGATTTGTATCCAAATCCTACAGGGACAAAAGCATGAGAGAACCCCCATATTATCAACCTAACTAGCTGCTAACTAAATATCACTTAGACTATCTGACATTTTTTTTGCTATCGTGGTTTTGGTGGTTGAAAGGCCAATATAAAAAGATTAATACAAAGGTGCACCAACTCATGAATATTTTAATATTTAATATGTTAAACTGAAGTACAGTTTAATTTAAAACTGTTATTTCAGATTAAGGCAAGTAACTGCAGTTTCATACAACAAAAAGTTGCCTTATCCATGCAGATTTGTCAGAAGACCATGAGTCCCTGCAGACCTAGGACTCATCTCTTTATTTTTTTCAAGGATGTCCAAAAAGGTTTTTGAGAGAGATCCTTGGATTTCCCCTTCTTTTTTCCAGTCTATACTGGATTAACTTTCTACATATAGCAGAGAGTAGGAGCTCATTGTAGGTTGGATGGGTTCACAGTGAAAGTGAGGAAGATAGTATGGGTGACTGGGGTTGTGTTTCTGCCCCCTACTGCCCATCGTCAGAAATCTTATAAAATATTGTTTTTTGGGGTTTTTTTTTTTCAATTGGGGTCTCACTCCACTGCCCAGGCTGGAGTGCAGTGGTACACTCACAGCCACCCCAACATCGACCTGCTGGGCTCCAGCAATCTTTCAGCCTCAGTTGGAACTACGGGCGCAAACTACCCAGCCCGGTTATTTATTGTGGGGACGAGGGCTCGCCAATTTGCTCAGGTTAGTCTCAAACCCACAGGCTCAGACAATCCACTCACCTTGGCCTCCCAAAGTGCCGAGGAATTACAGACTGAGTCACCAACCCCGGCCAAATATTATGCTTTTACTATGCTTCTCCCTAACCTGATACACCTTCTCCATCCTTGCCTGTCTGAATCATTTGTTCTTCAAGACTCTCACATTCTAAGTCTTCTGTGTATCTCCCTTTTCTCCTTTTCTGCTAGAACTCTCACTCATCTCACTCTCTTCTTCTTTTTTTTTTTTCTTTTTTTGAGTTCGACTCTCACTCTGTCGCCCAGGATAGAGTGCTGTGGCACGCTCAGGGCCTCAGCAACCTTGACCTGCTGGCTCAGGCGATCATTTGCCTCAGTTTTCCAAATAGCACATCACCAGTCCTGGCTAATTTTTTGATTTATTGTAGAGAGAAGGTCTTGCCAAGTCTCCCAAGTTGGTCTTGGAACCCTGGGCTCAGGCAATCCTCTCACCTCCACCTCCCAAAGTGCTGGGACTACAGGCGTGAAACACTGTGCCCAGCTCTCATTCTCTTCTTAACGCAAATGAGTATAACTGTATCACACAAATTAATACTCATTCCTCATAGTCTATTATACATTCCTAAAAATTTTTTTAGTTTGTAACATGCTTGAGAGTTTGTACAATCTTCTAGGAACCCTAACAAACACATCTGTAGAAACAGAGCATACTATGGTATGCTAAGAGCACAAGAGGAACCTAAAATCAGATTTCCATGGTTAAATTTTAGGCTTTAATACTTGTAAGCTGTGTGATCTTGCTTAAACGTATCTGCTTAGAACCTCAGTTGCCTTGACTGAAAAATGCAGATAATAAAATTATGACCTACATTGTGAGGATCCCTGTAAAGCTCTTAGGATAGCACTAGGCACAAAATAAGAGCTCTGGAAAAATTGGTACTATGATGATGATGATGATAATGATAATGATAATAATAAGAAGAATTTGTTTATTATTCCCTATAAAGCTGAACACAGACCTGGCTCATATTACATATTGTAATAAGTAAAAGTTATTCTCTGAGAGGCAATCAATCACCCCTGCCAGAAAAGTATGGATAGATTCAGCCTTTCAGAACTGCATCTTCCTGTATTTGTTAAAACTATACCATTTAAAATCCCCCTTAGGATTGTTTCACACATGAGGCAATGAAACTTCCACCATGTTCACATAAATGGAAGACAGACAAGGTTAACTTAGCAGTAATTGTTTTTCACTGATGCTTACCTGAATTAAGTTTATTTGATTAAATTATTTTCTTTAGAATAAATCAAAGTACATCACTGCTTATCAATAGCACCTCTGGCTAACAACTAGTAAACTCATAGTTACTTAACTTTGAATTTATTTTATGTTATTTTATTTATTTTTGAGTTGGAGTTTCACTCTGCCGCCCAGACTAGAGTGCAGTAGCTGCTCCCGGCCACCGCAGACTCGACCTGCTGGGCTCCGGCAATCCTTCCGCCTCAGCCTTCCAAGTAGCTGGAACTACAGGCGCGCGCTACCACGCCTGGCTAATTTTTTGATTTATTGTAGAGATGAGGTCTCACCAAGTTGCCCAGGCAGGTTTCGAACCCGCGGGCTTAGGCAATCCACTCACCTCAGCCTCTCAAGGCGTGGGATTACAGGCTGAGCCACTGAGCCTGGTTACTTTGAATTTTAGAAGTCTACACCATTAAATTGCAGCCACCCAATGTAAGAGGAACCCTTTCAGTAGCTAGAAGAAATTGAGTTGTGTCTGAATGAATTAAAAAGGCAGCTTTTATAGAACGTCCATACAAGTTGAAATTCAGAAACTTACTGAACTTTCTTTCTCCATACCCCAACAAATTTCAGTACTATACAAAGCTACAAAACACAATGGCAGCAGATAATGATGGAAGAAATTATTGATATAATTTTGTCCGATGATTTTGCTTAAATGAATATCAGTTAAACTCACCAGATCACAAATGAACCAGTTTTACTTCCTTCAAACATATTGAAATTATAGGGACAAAATTATTCCATTATATAGACTTGTTTTGCTTTTCTTTTCTGCTTTGTTGTTCTGTTTTATGTAGTCACTCTTTCTTTTATAGCCTAATTTTTTTTTCTTTTCTCCTTTGATGCTCAAAGTCACCACTGTATACATAATACCTAAGGCATTTATGTAGAAATGAGTACATAAGTCATTTAGCTTAACTTTAGACCTACAGCAACTTGGATGGACTTGAGTCTATAATATTGAGTGATCTATCACAGAAACAAATTACTATCACATGTTTTCACTCATAAGTGGACCTTGTACAATTACCGTAATACTATAAGAAAAGGATTGTCAGCAGTGGGAAGTTGCCAGGGGGTTGGGGCGGGATTAGCAGTAGTGCGATTCTGTGGAGGGGGGGTGGGGAGGGGGACACATCTCATTAACAAGGGTACCTGCATAATGAACATTTGTATACTTAACCCTGAATTGTACCTCACATTTTTTTAAATTAAAAAACAACTTTAGACCTAATATTTCTTTTTGTTGGACTTCGCTTCATAGTTAATACACAACTCTCCATGCAAATTTCAAATGCGTATTACTTACAGACTAGTAAAGAACAGGAGCCTAATTCCTTCATAATATTCTGTAAGCTACCCCCTTTCCCCCAATCCTACATAAATAACAGTAGAATATTGAATTTAAGGTTGTGCCATTTGACTCTGGAAGCATCAGTTCTTCAGCAAAGTTGCTTTCAGTCTGGATCTGAAATGATGAGATCATGAATTAGGAATGATTCTGATGACAGTAATATTTACCTCTTTGAGACAGCCCATAAAGTTGTTACTGACTGGTGACCCTGGAAGGTCGGCTGTGCTGGGACTGCCTCCAACATAGAAAAAGTCATCAGACCCCAGCATGGTATAATCTTCTTGCGTGTAGCCCGTTGTGGTAAGAATCCCATCCACTGATATTGTCACCTAGATAACAAAGCACAGGGAAAGGACACGCTATACTCAGACCTAGATACTGTAATCCTGGGATATGCCTGTTTTGTGTTTTGTTTGTTTTATTTTTTTGTTTAGCTTTTTGCTTTTTTTTTTCTGTTTGTTTGGTTTTTGTTTTTAGACCTATGGAGGAACCCATTTTCATGTCTGTTTGAGGTTTATTCTTAGATTCTATTCAACTAGCCCTAAAAGATCTAAACTAGTTAGAGAGTTAGCTGATTATTGAAGTAGTGTCAGCGTTATCCCTACTGCAACTCAAAAGTTATTTAGCAGACACAAAAATGGTGTTAGTAAAATGCTTCCTAGGTTAGTTTTGCTGGTGTACATATTAGTAAAGTTCAGTCGTCTGTTATCAACTAATCACAACGTGCACCTTGTTAACATAAAAGGCGCAAGCTATTTCCAGCAACATCACTATTTGCACTATTGAGCAGCAATTGTTCAGCATGCAAGTGCCTAAGTCCATGCCAAAGGGGGAAAAAAGGCAAAACAACCAGTAGAAGCAGCACACGCCAATGTGCACATGCAGGAAGTATAGTACAGTTCAGAAAAGAAAGGAAAAAAAACAGGGAAAACCAAAGGAAAAAAACAACAACTGCTTTGTGATGACGTAAAGATGAGTGGGTGTGGCATCTCCAGCATTCCCAAATCAAGTTTCCATGCCATGCATCATGAATGGTTAGAGACTGGTTGAGCCTGCGGTCACTCGGGCCAGCCACCATTTTGTCTTATCCCGTGTTAACCACAGCTGGATGCAAAAACGTTCGAAACGTTAACGATGCCCCTACAGGTGAGTTGGAAAACAGAAGTTGACAGGAACAGGTAAAAAATAAGAAGGTCAACAACAGATGAAAAGAAGGAGGTCAAAGTAAGCAGAAGAGTACCAACCGCAGTTCCTCTTTTGTTAATGATGTCTACAGTTAAAAGAAAGAAAGAAAACACACGGCAAACCCAAAATAAGAAACAATTAGAATGATATCTACCGAACAATGTAGTTTGTTTACCATAGCGTGTCCAATGCCTGAGTGCTTTGTGGAGAAGGGGGGAGAAAGGAAATTAAAAACTGTGAACAGAATAACGATCGTTACTTAAAAAATATGATGGTTTCTACCATGTTAGTACATTTTTTGATTCAGGTAACGGTTAGTAGAATGAAACATTCCATGAATGACATGTTAGTTATTAAGCATGTTAGTAACATAGAAAAAGGGCAAAAAAATTTTACAAGAAAAAAGCAGACTAACAAGTAGGCCTCCCACAGAGGTAATATATTTTCCTGCCATTATTGTTCATAACTTGCTACTAGACAGAAACAGACACATGGCAATGTTCCCTTTGCCTTCCTGAGTACATCTGAGAGACATTTTGAAAAGTCTAAAAGGGATTCAAAGTCCTAAAGCTTTTCAGCTGACCACTGCTGCCCTATGCCCATAATTGATCCCTCCTCCACCCCGGCCCACCCCAGTCCCAGCAAATTAGTAGGAATCAGTTGGCATTGCCCTACTACTCAATTTTACAGCATACAAGGACTCCTCCTCAACTTCAAAACTTCCTTCGGTCATATTGATGAACTTTAGGGTCACAGTTTACTGCAATGAAACAAAGCAAAGATCCTGACACATAGAATGAGTAGAATGGATTTGTGTTTAATCTGTCTTGCTACACATGCACCCCAGCTGTATAACTAATTTCCTTTGAGCTACCAATTCACAGTTTGGTTGTAACCTGAGCAAAGGCAAATCTAGAAAGTGGGCTTCTCAAGCCCCCACCCTTCCTTCTGTGCTTCTCTCAAATGAACTTCTAGTCTCTTGGTGAGTATCTGAGAGATGAAATAAAAAAGGAAAACCAAAGAGACAGACTTATAGGAAACCCACGGTCTATACTGATGGTGGGTAACCCTCTCCCAAGGCAGGTTGAAGCATGCAGGGTCTCTCCCATGTCAATAAGGCATCTGAAAGGTTTTTGGGGTTTTCAAGCATCTTTCAGTTTTACTTGTCTGCTTTAACTAGACTAAATCTCCACTCCTAAATTTCTTTTTTTTGTTTTTCTAGTTTAAGCCTTTCAGAAGTGGGAAAGAAAAGGTTAGACAGTTAACAGCTCTGAAAGAGAGGGCTGTTTTAGTAAAGGAAAACCAGAGACAATCCGGTCATTCTGCAACTGTTCAGAGAAACAACAAATATGTTAAGGATATTAGTTTGAGATCAGCATGTACCGCAAAAAAATTAGTCACTGTCAACACTTAACAAAATGATACATTGTGATATAAAGTTTCAAATAATAACCAAAATATATAAAATATTAAATATATAAGAACAATCAGTTCACTTTCATCTGTATATATACTGTAATAATTTATCTCAGTTAAACACTTACAGTATATGTGGACCCACAGATTTCAGATTTCATAAATAATTGATATTTTCCTAGTAGATGGCCTCTTGCAAAAACTTTTAAAAAAATACAATCAAATAGAAATGGGCACCTAGAAGATGAACTGTCCTTTCCAGTCATTTGGGGTTTAACTTAAAGTGTCTGTGCTAAAAATAAGAATATCTTCATAAAAACAGACTCTTCAGGAGATATGAAAGCCCCCAAAATTATTTTTTCCCCTCTGGGACTTTTCTTGTCCCCAATTAGGGGTTGGCAGCAGGGAGGGAGTAGGGATTGATACAATCCCAAATCACAAACACTATTGTTTTGACTACAAAAAAGGAACTGTGATTCAATGACCCCAATGTGCATGCTTCCAAATGATCACCATGAAAACTATAATTTAAAATCAAACAAACAAAAAAACCAAAAACACAACAAAATCACACACATCACAGGAAGGGCAGGTTGCAGGGATATCCTTGCAGCCCTCTGGGAAATTGTCATATGTCACTGTATCAAAATAGCCTTTGGGCCCCCAGAACTTTCTAGATATGCCCCTGCTCAAGTATGGCAGGAAGATTCATCTCAGAAAAATAAAAAACTAATTTGTAAGAGACTCTGAGGAGCCCTGTATCATGTTGTTCGAGTTTTCAAGTACCACACACACAGCTGTAGCGAGAAATAAAGCCAGTTACTCTCTTATCCACTGCGCTGTTACCTGACGCAGATTCCTGGTGACTTTGACATCATGCCAGGCATTATCATTAAACTTTCCATTCACGGGCTCCACTAGTGCTTCAAAGGCCCCTGATCCCAAATTAATGACCAGAGAGACAGCTCCATTTTTCAGGGCAAGATTGACATAATCAGCCGATTTCCCGGTGTGAAGCATCAGTCCATTCCTCTGAAGGGTTTTAAAGGACAGAGTTATTTCATCACTGCTGCTTTGAATGGGGTTTTGAGACAAGTCGTAGCAGAAGTATTCAGATCCCTTGAAAGTGGCAATATATTCTTCTTTTCCTAGAGGAAAACAGATGATACACACATAAGTAAAGAAATTCACTATGCAAATCAGCAAGATCTCAACCGTAACAATAGCTAATCAGCCCCTAAATTCATGCTTTGCCTGGTCAACATTCACGACAAGAGTCCTGTCACAGAGTCAAATACTACTGTATGTAGGTGGCAGTATGTGTTTGATAAACCTCCTCCACTATTGGACTATCAGCTACGCTAGCTAAAGTTGACATTCTTGAAAATTCAATTAATTTTAAGTATCGCTACAAGAGCTCTGATCAGAGACTGTAGCTCTGTGATGTCTCCAGGGCACGAGTCAGGTACCATCAATGCATATTGGATAATTCCACTCTGCTGGCAACGATGGATTCCAACATGTTTGCAGCATTCTCTCCATCCAGCTGAGGCATTATCTTAATTTTCAGTGAGACACTTATATTCAAAGATCTTTCTCAATGAAGAGCCAAATATTTTCATCATTGAGAGATCAGAACAAATTATCTGGTGAGGGAGAAAGAAAAGACTAAAAAAATAGCATCGGGTCTGGGAGTAATCAGATCTCTTATAGAGCATGTAGACTTTTTCTCCCTGGATGGAGGAAGTAGGGATATAAAGTCTAACAGGGTCAGCTGGATTATTTGATTCATTTCCTGGTCTCGCCAAGCAGATGATAGGGCTAGCTTTTATGAGACTGGTAAGAATTCCAGCATATAATCATGAGGATTGCACGTAAACTAAGTCTCAAGATTTTCTGCATATCTCAGTCTTTACCATAGGTAGGAGTAACAGTCTTGGATTCCACAAGATCAAACAGGTCTAACAGAAATGTGGCTATTTGTAAAGAGCAATCTTCTCCCACTGGTGAAGTGAATTTAACCAAAGGAAAAGTGTAAGCAAACGCTCCCTTGATTTTCCAGGCAATAATGATGTTGTGTCAAGAAAAATGAGGCAGTACAGTTGGGAATCAGCTTCTGATAAACTGGAAACATAGACGTATAAGTGGTACTAGAGAAACTTAATCTGTCCCACTGGTAATATAGTTCTACTATTAAGTCCACCAGAGGGTTCACATACAATCAGGCATTATGCTCTTCCTCTATAATAGATTTTTACTTCAGTATTCTTTTCATTTGATTGTCAAATAACTCATGACCTGGAATCAGATCGCAAATCAAAGTTTCAGCTCATCAGTGCAAGATGTTCTGATTTCCTGGATGCAGAAAATACCATAAGTACCTACAGGTAGTCAAGCCATGCCAATGAGCAAGGCAGTGAGCACTTAGGGACTTTCACAAGGAAGGGAGCCTTAAAATAATAGCCACTGGCTACTAGTAAATTATTAGCAAAGACTAGCAGTCAGGCCAAATCGACCACATTCTGAGTAAGAGTCATAGGGAGGACAACTCAGTACATACTAGGTGTCTCTCTCATTTAAGCATCAAAATATTGGCTGAGCACCTCCCACATGCTCAGCACAGTACTAGTATCTTCAGGGATGATGACATGAACACAGCTGGCCTAACTTCTGTTTCAGTAAGTTTAGATGTCCACTTTCCTGGTCAGTTCAATATGGTAAGTGGTTCAGTATTGAGTACAACTAAATATTTCTGTTATGCTGGGGGGGGAAATGCGGGTCAAAATATGAGTCTGGACCCTATGTCAGCCACTAGCTAACTATCACAAGAGCAATTATGCACTTTTCTAAATCTCAGTTTCTGAAAATGGTTAGTGATACCAATCTCCCAGAATGGGTATGAGGATTAAGTAAGATAATGCCAGTGTAGACATCTGGTAAAACTGGTGAGAAGGTAGATGTCTTCTTCCTTGCCTAACTAATATGATAAATGTGATACACGGTTTAAAACAAACAACAGAAATCATATTTTACTGTGAAATCTAGAATATTTTCATTAGGATAAGACACAGAACAAGAATTTCCACTATCAACATTTCTATTCAATATTGTACTTTCCTATACTTGAAATTGTAGCTAATGCAGGAAGACAAGAAAAATATATAAAGATTATAAATGGAGAAAATAACATCACATTAGCAAGTATGATTGCATAAACTGAAATACTAAAATAATCTACAAAATTACTTGGCTTAATAAAATATTTTAGAAAGATTTTTAAGTCCTATATGCTAGAGACAATCAATGTTTTAACATATATAATAGACCTATAGATTCAATAAAATTCCAATAAAATATCAATATATTCTTAAAATAAATGTGAACAGCTGATGCTACCAATTCTGTGGGAAAAACAAAGCACACAAAACAGTCAAGATATGGCAGAGAGAAAAGATGAAGCAACTTGCCTGTGTAGAGATGGACATTTATTAGAAAATTATGGTAATTAAGAGACTTTATTAGTATACATAGAAATAGGAGAATAAAGATAACCAAACTTAAAATACTCATAAGCATATATGAAAACAATTTATGCTAAGTCAAGCACTGCATACAATTGAGCACAAGATAGTTCATAAATGGTGCTGGGACAACTGGCTATCTATATGAAAATAGTGAAATAATATTTACATCATTTCATACAAAAAAATCAATTCTAAGCATTCAAATTTGTAAAGGTAATATGTGAAAAGTTTTGTAAGGCAAGGCATTATAACATGGACATGTGGAAGGATTTATAAAGCTGGCATGAAAGTTCTAAGAAATATTGATATATTCATTTACATTAAAATTAAGAACATCTGTTTATCAATAATTCCATGGAGTAAAAAGTTCAGTAAAAAATTAGGAGAAAATATTTTTATTACTATTAATCAACAAAGGACTATAATCTAGAATATGCCAAGTACCCCAATAAGAACATTAAAAAAAGATAACCAACGGGGAAAACAAACAAAAGAAATGTAATTTCATAGAAAACAGATATGTATGTTCATTCCTATTAGTAGTCAGGGTAAGGCAAAAATTAGACTATATTCAGATACCAGTTCATATGAAAAAATATTTCAAAGCCATGAAATTGACCAAAAATTAAAAGATCAAAATTCCACATTTTGGCAAGTCTGTTGATAGTCATTCATATGTACTGCTGATGAGGGTGCTAATAAAATGAAAACTACCCAATGCAATAAGCTCCTTTCGGCATTATTAAATCTCATAGGGATACCACATATTACAAATAACTTGGGATCTCAGTCATTAGAATCAGTACTATAATCAATTTTAAAAATCCCCCAATTCCTTCCAACTAACTCATTCTTATTGCTTATTGTTCTGCTTATTTGACCACAGGTAGTCAAGTGGGTTCTAGCTCACATACAAACACATATATTATATATGTTGAGATCCATTTACCTGAATATGGTATTCGCAACATTTTATAGGCCCATTGAATATGCAGGTCTCTGAGCCAGAGAGATCCTTAAAGATCCTCCTCTAGCCCAACCCTTTAGTTTACATTATTAAGAAAGTGAGAGCCATGGAGTTTAAATGACCATCAAGCTCATAAAATGTGTCTGTGACAGAAGTAGGACTAGAATTCAGCCTCCTGACTACTAATTCAGTTTCTGTCTAATACACCATTGCCACCTGTGTGTCACAAAGAAGTGATGTATAGCATTCTGAAAGCAAGAAAAAAAGAAAGAGAAAAAAAATTGTTTGTGAAGATGTGTCAGTAAGAAAAGAATAATTATGTTTTAGTCTACTCAGTTTAAAGGTGCAAGGAAATCTGTAATATATCAGAAAGAGTTCACTTAACAAAATTTAAAAGTTTAGGGGCTTGCAGAAGTTTGGTTCACTAAAAGGGCTACAACATTTTATCCAAGAAATTTCATGTCATTCCAAGTTTGCCTAACTCAGAATAAATTTCAACAAAGAATCTGTTTGCCGGATAGTGTGGCAGAGCCAAGGAGAAAATAGTATCAGTTGTTGGCAATTCACTAGATCATAAGCTTTGAAGTTATATGGATGTTGATGTCTTTTAACACTATGATAATTCTATTACTTGAAAATGAAAATATGTCACTTCTTTTTTATTGTTTAATTCCAAATTTAAGTAATTCAACTTCATATTAAATGTAACAACATAATTTTGGAAAAATTCACTCTGGAATACACAATTACCTTAAAATGCTATAAATGAGACATAAATCGAAGTGGGAAAAATATTTTTCCTATGTTCTCTTCCTTGAAAAATGAAAATACTATATTAAACACAAAAATCACTCTATTTCCTACAATATATTTATAAGATTATTTGATTTTTTCTAATTGTTTGCTATCTTATAGTTGTAATTAAGTTTTGTGCTATTCTATATGCAAATATCAAGCAGCACAGTTTATGTGTTCCCACTGAAGACTTCAAGAATAGGTTTATGTCTACTTTATAAGTCCCAAATGTTTTGTGCACTTCTAATATGTGCTAAAATAATAAAAATATAAAAGAAGTTAGACCCATAGCAATGCATATATCAAGAAATACTTATATCCAGGATACCTGAATAACTTATACAAATCAATAATACAAAACCTAGACAAACCAATAGAAAAATTAAAGAGAATACTTGAAGAGAGACACTTCACAATAAAAGAACATCTATATGAAAAGATATTCAACTTCATTATCTTCAAATAAATGCAAACTAAAATCATAATGAAACCCCACCATAATTCACCAGCATAAATGAAATGAAAAAGACAAAAAAAGAATTGCAAAATGTTAGTGACCATGTGTAGCAACTTGGAACTCTCATACATTGTTGGTAGAAACCTCTTTGTGAAATTGTCTGACATTCTCTTTTAAAGCTGAACATATATGTTTACCTTAAAATCCAGCAATTCCACTAATAGGTATATCCAACAAAAAATCCACACACAGATCATCAGAATAAAATACCAGAATGTTTATAGTGATGCTTTGCATAATAACTTCACACTGAACACTACTGAAATCCCAATCGATAGACTAGATAAATTTTGGTATAGTAACAAAATGAAATATTAAATAGCAATAAGAACATATGAGCT